TTGTTTACATTAATCCATGTTGAATGGTCATTTAATTGCGTTTTATTAGTACAAGATTATCCAAGTGTGCCTTTTCATGGTCAAACAATCTTACGACTGTTTATTACTTGAAACAGAATGAAAAGTGTCAACAATTTTTTATCAACTGAAATGAAAAGTTAATAGTGCACTGAGTTGAACCCAAAGCAAATAATGAGCGAAAGTGCATGTAGTCTAGTGTTTCACTGATTATCATTAATAGCAGGGTAACAAGTTGAACCGTTTGCACACATTTGATTGGTTTACTTTTCAGATTAAATGATGGATTAACTGGCAATCTCTTGTTTGCAAACAGAGTCAGGTTAGGTTAGGTTAGAACCCTGTTGAGACTAAAACTCGGAAACTCAAAGTTGCCGAAGTGTTTATTAAAATGATCAATAGTCTTTAAGGAAGAAGAAAAAAAATTCACTTCAGAAGATTCATGTTACTCGAGGAGGAAGATGAAGGAAACGGTTAAAATGATTAAAATCAAGATGAAAAGCATTGAACTCGCAAAAGCCTGGACTAAAGATTAAGTTGATGCTGAGAGTGAGGCTGTTAGGTTGAGAGGTTCAACACTATCAGCCTAACATTGCAAGTTTGGTGATGATGATGACTAACATTCTGTAAGTTTGCCATGAATTTTTGAAGAATAAAAATGAGAATGAAAATTTCACTTCAGAAGATTCATGTTACTCAAGATGATTAGAATTTTCAAGATGAAAATGGTTGAAACGCAAAAGCCTTGAATAATGATAAAGTTGATCCTAAGAGAGTGAGGATGTTAGGTTGAGAGGTTCATCTGGATCAGCCTACATTGCGAGTTTTGCTGGAAATGATGACTAAGTTTGTAATGAATTTTGGAAGAATACAAATGAGAATGAAAATTGAAAGCTTCAGGAGGTTCCGGTGTGTCAAAAGTGAATTTAGAGGTTAAATTTGTGGCCAATGTTGAAGTCTCGTGTCAACATTTGGGTCGATATTTTTCATCTTTTTTTTTTGTACTCAGCAACATTAGCATGATTGTCTGTTAGGTTAAAGGTTGAATTATTTAAAAGAAATCACTTGAACATAATGAAAGCGAAACTTTGGCACAATTAATACATTTGGCTGTACATTGCAATTTGCATAATAATTGTTAATTGTGGGTCGGCGAAAGAGAGGCAAAGAAGGAAAGTGACAAAATTTACTTTCCTTGGCACCCAAAGAAGAAGCCTGTTCTTCGGGTGAAACAAGGTTAAGGTGACCCAATAAGCCATGCTGTTGTCCATAGCATTGTTACTCGAAAACATAACAGAAAAGGTCAACCTCTTAACCTATATATTATTAACATTATTATTAATATCATCATCATTATTATCATCATTATTACAATGATTATTGTTATTTTTCTGTTGATATTCATTTTTACCTTCAAATTTTCCAACATTTTCCTTCTTCTCAATTGGCAATCTCATTTTTGGCCTTAAAAGTCATTATTATGGTTATTATATTTAACATCTTTTCTTGTTCCATCCTCATCATCATCATTTGTTTTCTTTCCTTTTCTCTTTGCTCTTCCTCATCCTCATCACTTTACATAACAGAAGAAGGTCAATTTGATGTTACAATTTTTTCTCTTCTCAACTTTTCTTCTTCCTTCTCACAATGAACACAATAGTCTGTTTGGATAAGTATTAAGATGTGATGAAAGGAAGAGGGAAAAGCATAGTGATGATGAGCAAGGAAAAGTGAGACTTTTCATCTTCATCTTTCCTCTTTCCTTTCTTTCTCCATGAAACATCAATAATGATGACATTTCATTGAAAAAGAGAGAAGAAGAAGAAGAGAAAATGAAAAGACTTTTTTCTTCTTGTTGTCAAAATATTACAATATGATTATTACAAGTCTCTACCTTTTCATTCACTTTCCCTTTACATTTTCATCTTCATCATCTTCTTATCATCAAAACATCTTATTTGTTTCTCTCTCAACTCTTTATTTCATCAACATTGTAATCAAAATTTGTTAACCATTTTGTCAGCATTCGAGTCTCTTGAGCATCTCAAGGTGATTCAAGTTTGGTGTTGAAAATGAAACTTGAGTTTGTACTTTTTCAACACTTGAAAGTTGTTAAGAAAACACTTACAGAACATGAATAGAAACAAAACAAAAAAAGACTGAATCGAATCGAAAGTTCTTAAAGTTGGAAACACAAAAAAAGAGAGAAAATTCGAGTTACCTTCTTGTTGTTATTGTACTTGAACGTTGAAAGTGGACACTCGAAGGTACTTTATAACTTTCATTATCATCTTGATTATTTATAATAATGTTAACTATTGATATGAATATTTAGTAACAATCAACTTGAATGATTACAATAAAAAACCTTTCCATTTCTCGAGTCCATTCAAGCTGACCAATGTTTAATTGGTTTCAATGGCGTCAGTTTTAAATTGTTTTTCATTGCAAATTTCAAGGATTCAAAAGTCATCCAAATTTGGCGGTTCAATTTTGACAATTTCAAGTGACATTCATTGTTATCAGCATAAACATTTTTTCACCTTTTCTCAACCAATCCAAAAAGTTTAGTTTTAATCAACAAAAATCATATTATTGAGCTTCTTCTATAACAGTCAAGTCATCAAATGCAAAAAAAGGCAAAACTTGTTTCAATTGCTGCCCAAAATGAAAGCCAATAGGAAATTAGATATTTGATAATCTTGGTTCAAACAAGATTTCAATGCTTTTCTGAAATTCGCTTGAAAACTTTATTACACAAAGTTAGGAAAGACCCTCTTAGATCGCTTTTGATTGGAAACATTGTTTGTTGACCGCCGAAAACGATCGAGCAATCAAGGTAGAAAATTCATTGAAAATTCATTCAAGATACAGTAATGGAAATTGCGCAGTTCATGAATGCAAAATGGCAGTTGTCAACTACTTATCCATAAATTATGATATTTAGAGTAAAACGAACAGAATAGAAGATCTTTTTCTTATTATTATTCATAGATTGGTTTTCGGCACGATTCGGTTGTTAGTGTAAAGGTACTGGAAATGCAACGAGTATTATAGATTGAGTTTGGATTTATATGATGGATTAGGTTCGATTTTTAAAACGAATTGTTGTCATTTTTCGGATTGAAGTCGGTTTGAATCTTTCATATTGTATTGTGGAATCAAAATCAAAATTTAACTTTTAATGGTAGATTTAATAGCATAACCTTAATTATGCACACTTGACCATTAATCGAAACTTTGAATGAAAAGTAATCTTTCGGTTGAAACCTCAATTGTTTTTTTATTATTTTTGTTGACCTTTTTTATGGTTTAATTTAAATATAACGCGATTGACGCTAGTTGCGTCAATTGAAACAAATTGAAATCCAAATGACAACTTGCAAAGTGGATTAACTTGAAAATTAATCGATGAGGCGTTACTCGACCGATTAACTTGAAATACACTTTGATACCTGATAATATGAATAATGACTGCAGATGAAGCTTTACTTTTGATAAATGTTAAATGGTAAATTTGAAGGCAAAAATGGTGCGCAAGAAGTAAAAGATGAAAAATGAATAAGAATCGCAATTTGAACAAAAGCAATATTAAACTAAATCACCGTGAATCAATCTCTTTTCATAATAAAGCAAATAACATTGTCCATGATATTACAAGCTAATATACACTGAAAAGCCAAATAACTTTCCCTGAATACATTGGAGCAAGAAATGCGTCGAGAGAGAAGAAGAAATTTTTTTTTCTTCTTTTTGTTGTTATAACTTTAATCCATAAGCTTGATATTTATAAATACATGTAGATATAAATTGATATTGGATAAGACATTTTTGGACCCAAAATGAATGTATAACAACGCCAAGGCAAACAAGAGCCAAAAAATGGATGAAAGTAAAGGGCAAAAGGCATTAAGTAGGAACAAAAAGGACAGAGTTGATGTGATTCTCATAAGGCGATTAATTTCATTTGTATGAAGATTAAACAGAGCAGGCAATATGTAATTTTACATTGAGGCACAAGGTGATGAGAGGATGAATGTTGAGACAAGAATGATGATGATGATGAGAAGACTTGCCGGATGATAAAGCTACTTGCAACGGAAATAATATCAATATATCCTATAACAATATTTGAAAAGATTTGTCTTCTTCTTCTTCTTCTTCTTTCAGCCATTTTTTGCTCTCGCCATTCAACCTCTTTCAATGTATCATCAAGACTAACAGAAAACTTGATCTTCATATTTTTTTCAACTTCTCATCTTCCTCATTATTCTCTATCAAATTACTCTCATTTTGTTTTCTTATTCATAAATTTTCCAATTCTATTCTTTGCCTTTGCATTATCCGATTATCTGACGACCTTTCAACTTAAACTTATAGTTTATAGGTTTATTTGTTCAATTTTAACATTCATTGAAAATTGAAGCCCAAGACTTGAACACTCAAGAGCTGTGTTTGTCAACACTTTACAATCAATACAATTGTTTTCATTGACTGGAAACACTTTTCAATTTAATGAATAAACCTTAATTTAATAACCATTATTTGTAAATATAACATCAACATTCAAGCTTGAAATTTTCAGAGATTTTGAGCTTGAATTAGAAATTCTGAGATTTTTTATTGGTTTAAATGAACTTGTAAGTTATGCAAAAGCTGAAAATATCGATGATAATCTTAACCAAGAAAATTGTCTTTAAAAGCATTCTGGACTGCCCAACTTTGAAAAGTTGGGAATTTTTGAAAACAAAATTTTCGATGTTTTCTGTTATCTGTTTTCTAGACGTTTTTTGATCCTTTTTGAACCAACCTTCAGATGTCGTCTATTGATTTCGAGCAATTTTAAATGAAGTTACAAATTCGAAATGTAAAAGTTCTTTTGATGGATGCTTTGATGAAATCCTTTGACCCGATTTCTCATTTATTTTCAGTTCTTTATTCATTTTTACTAACAATTGTACTTTTGTCTCTTCCCTTTACAGCCTAATAAAATTGATAAACGTATTTGTGGAATCAACCAACTTGGCCGATCATTGATGGTTTAATCAAACTATGTTAGGTGTTGTTTTTTGTGTTTTTAAATATCGAACCCGACTTGATTCATCTTCACTCATTTGGTCATTTGTTCAACGTTATTTCAACGCTTCAATCCAAAGTGTTGACACTATTTTACCGACTTTTGTGTTTGTCTATATCATTATTATTATTATTACTATTGAGCAAATTAAACCTGGAACAAGGAAACAAGCGGAATGAAAAAGCCCCCGAAAAAGATCACCATTTGGATGAAGATGAAGACGATTTGAACAGTTTTTTAAATAAATATATTAACATGGACAAAAATTGCAGCAAAAATGGATTGAAAAATAGAGTAAAAATATTTTATTTCCAGGCAAAGCAACAAAACAAATGATAATTGCAAATATCAACTTAAAATTATAAAAAATTGATCGATAATAAGAAAAAAAATAAAAACTAAAAAAATGATAAAATCAATGAAATGTCCCAAAAAAATTCAATTAGAGAGACAAAAGTGAAGCAATGCTGATCATCGGCAATAAATTAATGATAATATTAATAAATGAAACTTGACAATTAACAATTGTGCTTACTTTATTCATCAATTCCAATAAAGTTGTCAATCAAATTGAAAGTGAAAAGAGTTGAGAAAATTGAATTTTTTATTGAACAGTCCAAGTTGACTGGGAGTGAAGATGGTTGAGATGAAAAGAAGGTGAAAGAGTTGAAGCTGCAAATGGATGAAAAGTAAAGGATAAACTGATGAGGATGATGAGGAAGTGATAAAAGTGGGTGAGGGTGAAGGATGGGAGTTGAGGGATGAAAATAATAACAATGATTGGTGTCAAAGTGAACGATAAATGGCTCTCTATTTACTGTGTTTACAGTCATTTGATGGAAACGCTTTTGATACTTGAATGTATCAATGGGTGTCTGTTTTGAATCCCGTCATTTACTGTGTATTTAGATGATACAAAAACTCGGAATGGAAGCGAACAGCGAAAAGTGGATAACAAAAGGTTAAATGGGCAAACATTTGTACAAAGAGATGAGAGGAAAGGATGAAAATGATGAGGCCAAATTAGGAGTTGAGAGTGAGAGGAGAGAGTAAAGTCAAGAGAGTAAAGGTCAATAATGATATTTTATTAACTGTTTTGTCAATGGTCAATCTGATTGGGGAATAAAGGGAAAACAGAAAATGGCAGAAAAAAAAAGAAATGCTTTTTGCTCATTTTCGGCCTTTTCCCTTTTCTCTTCCTTTTTACTTTACTCTTTTTTCCTAAACATTGATATCAATGGTCATTTAATAATGGATAATATTTGAGAGGAGAAGAAAAAAGTCAAAGTAAATTGGACTCATTAATGGTCATCAATCATCATCAAAGGTAAAAACCATTTACACCACAAAATGATTGAATTAATAATTAACCAGAAATAATTGGGAACAAAAGAGGTCAATGAGGATAGTTGAAGGATAAGAGTTGAGTTTGAACAAAAAAGGTATAAATTGACCATTGGTCAAGGTAGAGAAAAAAAAGTTGAAGAGCAGAAAAAAATTGTACATCAATAATGAGGCTTTTACGGTGTTCAACTGTTGGTTAGTGCAATAATATGGTTGAGATGCGCACATACCTTTTACTACAAAATAGACAATAAAAATGAGAGTTTGCTGGAAGCGGAAGAAGGTCAAAAAGAGTTGCGAGAAAGTGACAAGTGAATGACGAAAAATTTAAATTGGATTGACCATTCAATTGACCAAAAGTTGGAAGCAAAAAAGTTAAAGGTTGCAGCAGCAACCAAAGAGCAATAACATTTACACTGAGAAACGTTTGTTTCCCAATTGCATTTGTCAATTGCCGGCGACAATTTATTGCTTTAAGTGAGGCCAAAATATTTAGACTCGCTTTGTTCAGGTCAACAAACAAAATGAATTTACCTTTTGTTTTCCTCTTTTTTTTCCAGGTATATTAGTGTCTTCAACTGGGCAAAATGTTCATTATAACTTTTACTCATTTCTGTTGGAGAAAAGCTTTTTTTTCCCTCAAAAAAAAACTAACCTTCAGTACAATTAGCAAGAACCGCACCTCTTGATCGATTCGCGTCTCTTGAGCTTCTCTTAATGATGATAAGATGGTTAATCAAAGGCTGTAATTTGTCGATGGTCAAAGATGATTGAACAATGTTCATTTTAATATTTAAAACTAATTATATGCTCAAGACAATTTGTTGGAACCCGCAAGGCTGAACCAGTATTGTTATTCAACAATTAATAACATGTAATGTTCATGGGAAAACTTTTCTCCATTTTTCATCTTCTTTTTTTTCGCTATTTTATCGGCCATCTTCAACAGAAATTGATAATGATACAGATGATGACAAATGACGATAATTTGACAAACAAGATCAATCAGTGATAATGATAGTAGTTTAATGGCAATGACAAAAGTAAACCTTTTGATGGTTTTATCATGAAGGCAAATATTAATAACAGGTTTGATGAAAAGTCGTGTGTTGAAGCTTAAAACAAATTGGACAGTTTTTTGACACTTGTAACTGTGTTTTGCATTCACCTTTCATCAGATGCTGCGTTCATTAGCTCATCATCTTTTTCCTTCTGTCAACACTTGAACACTTTGACATCAATTGACACGCGTTCGTAGTTGAACTTTTTATCCAAGAACTTTTTCCATTGTAAACTTTTCTCATAAATTTGAACACTTTCACCTTTCTTTGCACTCCCACTTCAACTAATATACTTGCGCCCGCCCAGCACTGTCAGTAGAAAAGTCCATTTTATTTTGTCTTTTCTTCCTTTTTTTCGTTCTCTTTTCTTCTTCATTTTTCCCTCTTTTATGGATCAACTTTTCTCTTCTTTTCCACCCAAAATCCTATTTATTTACATCACCTCAAACCTCCCATTTTTCGTGTTTCTTTCGTTCTCTTTTTTTTGTTTCTTCATCACTTCATCTTCATTTTCATCATCACCTCCTCCTTCACCATCTTTAATCTTCTCTCCCACTGAGAGATTTGTGTGTCTAAATAGTGGTCTAATCAATGGTGAATTGGTTTTAACTTGTTCATGTTAATGATGTTAACTCATGATAATTTCAAGTTGCAATTCAACTGTCAATTGTAATCAATCCTATGAGAACCTTTTTCAACTTTTTGACCACAAAAAGTTTGACGCCATTTAGAATGGTGATGATGAAGGAAAAGCAAAAAGTAGAAAGGAAAAGAGGCAAAAAACTGAAATTTTTTTGCTTCTTTTGCACACTTTTAAGCAAAAAAATTATTTACCCAAATAAATGGCTTAAATTGTCACTCAATTTGTTACCGCTTTGGCTTTTCTTGGTGGGAAAACAGATTAACAGATCTTTAACAATTGTATCAATTGTGTTTCACATAATTGCAATAATTACAAGTTTGACAACTGCTCAATATCAAGTTACACAGTTACATATTGAATAACATGTTCAAACACCTAAGTTAAGTTTCCACTCATTTTGCCCATTCAATGTTTATCAAACAATCAGTCATGGATATCAAAATATTGAATTATCTCAAAAAGTGTCAAACAAACTTAAAATCGATTCCAGTAACATTGACATTATCTTGTTATCTAATGGGCTTCAATGGAAAATGTGAGAATAACAAAATTTTAAGAAAAATTTCAAACTTCGAAGTTAAGCTTTTTACTTTTAAATTTAACTCGAAACCAGCGAAGTGACCAGAATTTTTTCTTCGATGAAAACCAACAATTAAGTTGAAATGGCAGTCGATTGACCCTCACTTTATCTTACTTTGGTAACACCTTGAATCGATCAAAATTATTATGAGAAAAGTCGAAAGGCATTTTGAAGCGAGTCTTGAAAGACAGAGACTGTGTCGTTGAATCCTTTGGATAACAGGGTTGAGAAACGAGAGAAACTCATTAATCATTTGGAAACAATTGAAACAATGTTAATTGTTTATTGGTTTTCTTGTTTCTCTGCTCATTCAATTACCATTTAGATTGAATTTAACACTTTAATAGACTCACAATAATCATAATGATAATAAAGTCAAATGAGTTAATAACAATAATAAAATGAAATAGATATAATAATAATAGTTTAAATGGTCAATTTGTTCATTTGGCTTTTGTTTTGTTTTGTCAGTTATAATTGCCATTCTTGGTGTCGTTCCTTGTATACCAATTGATTGATGAACTGAACATTATCATCATTGTAGGTTTAATAATAAATATGATAATGATGCTAATGATTAGGAATGGTCAGGAAAGTGGCCAAGTTACTGGTTCTGTGAAACAAAATGATTAACAGGAAAAGTTTCAATCGTTTGTTTCGTTCCTTTTTTTGGGTTTCTTGTCAAGTTTGGGAAAATAAATAGGCTTAAAATTGCGGTATCAGGATGGATAATTTCAAATATGAAATATCTGAAAAGTGAAGAGAAGAACAAAATTTTACTCATTTTACAGAACTATCATCATCTAGTATGTAATTTAGTAACTTGATAGCCCAAGGAAAGTCAAGGAAGAAGAGAAAATTTTCTCTGATTTTTTCTTCTTTTCCTTGTTTTTTGCTTCTTCTTGTTGCCTGTTTATCATCCGACAACAACACAGACAAACTTGAAGGTAAGAAAAAGTTTGTTGAAATAAATTTTTTGTTAAAAAGCAAAGTTAATGTTTATATTGTTATAATTATATGCTCGGTTTCAACCAAACCCTCCAGCAAGTTTCCAACTATCAATGAACATTACCTTTTCTTGAATTTACTTGTCTTTCCAGTTTCAATCTTCTCAATGGAATCACTTAAAATGTTAACGTCTTCACACGATGACAGAAGCCCTCGACTTTTGACGATTTTCCAAGCTTCGATATTTCGCTTTCGATTAATAGTGAAGAGTAAATTTTATTGCTGCAATAAAAAATTGCAAAATTAGTTAGGTTAATATTCAAGTTAATTTTTGATTCGATTCTTGACACACAGCATGCTATTCCTCAAAATGAGAGCATTTTCTTGTTTGTCATTAAAATTTATACCAGAAAAATGAGTTCCATGAAAAAATCTGTTCCATAATTTAATAAAAAGTGATCGAAGTGAGAACATTAAAACTTTCGACCAAGGAAATTATTCGATTGCTTTTAAACTTGTAAAAACTGAGACACACAAAGAAGCGTAAAAGCCGCTTCAAAATTTTACTTTTCGATATTTGCTCAATTTAATTGAATTAAAAATTTTAAATAAAACTGAACTTCTTAAAGAACGGGATTTTCAAAATGTTAATCCCGTTAAGTCTTTTGCACGAACTTTTCCAATTTTCAACTTCGTTCCAAGTCTAAATCTTAATATAACTTGAAAAACTCCGACTCTTTGATTCCCCGTGATCTTTATCCTTACAAGGCACGTTTCACCAAGACAGCACCAAATTAACCGAAGAATCACAATACTAACTTAAACAACTGAAACCGATATTTTACCATGAAATGAAACAGGAGAAACAAGTGAAATGTAATAATAAATTTGAAGCAAAAACGATACCTTCACGGAATCATCAACCCCAAATAGAGCAAATAAGGTTGCTG